TGGATCAAAGCGTAACAGCAGTTTTACCTGTGTACTTGTGTACACAATGGCCACAAAACTATGCCTCGGAATATGAGTGACTTTCAGTCGTAATATAGTAACACAGAGCCAAACAGAAACAACAACAAAAATAAAAGCAATATATTTTTGTACTCAAAGGACTTGAGAAGGGGATAAAAATGTATATTTAGCCCCAAACTACTGTTACTTTCTCCTGATAAAAATTGGGTTGATCTGTTTTCCTGATCTGAGTTTCAGTAAAGAGAATGGTACCAAATTAGCTTTCTTCCAAGTGGAGCCAAGTTTGTTCTTAGAACTTTTCCAGGTGTGTTTTGCGAGAATGCAGCGAACTCTCAATTATGTGTGCTGGATAGGAAAAGGACATTATGGACTGTTGAAAATTCATAGTGTATAATGTGTGGACATCAATTTCAAAAAACGATTAAAACTCCCTTGACAAATCAGTCCTTGGGAAGCAACACAGATTGGTGTGAGTTGTTATTTTCACGGGGTGAAATTCTAAAGTTAACAGGACTGGTCATTAAGAAGAAAAGACAAAACACCCCCACAAATCAGTCAGCTAGCTCTTCGAATATTGGCAGTGACTGTGTTTCTTTGAAACTCAGAAAACTGAGCAATGTTACAAAAATCTCCCAGGTGACTGTGACCTCATAATTTTCCCTGAATCCTTAAGCTCCATCTTGCCTCTGTTCAGTTCTGAAGCTTCACCAGTACAATGAATTCCTCAGCACGCCATTTTCCAGCCCAGAACAGCACGGCTGTCATTGCCTAGCAGACACACAGACCTTTCTGCGACAGCAGCTACGTCTGCATGTCATAAGCTGGAGGATCGGATCGGTCCAAAGACAACAGAAATCGGAAATCTGCACTGAACCCGCCTTTTAAAAGCGTGGGGCTGCTTGGAGCTTATCATTTAGCTTATGTACTTTTCTGAACTCCAGGTCATCACAAAGGATGGCCAGGACAGACAGCATTTGATTGAAGGATCCAACTATGTATGGATAAGAACTATTAATCTCAAGTCACACTCAAGCACATTGGAAACCACAATTGTAAAATGAGTTGATTCATGAATAAAACCCACTATTCCTTTGCGACAAGAAGGAAATGGGATCAAGGAGTCTGCCAGTCCAGCCATCCCTGGAGCTCAAAAGTATCTGTCAAGGCTAGTGGGAAAAAGATGTTTAGCATACCAGCCCCAATGGCAAGAAAAAAGAAATCTTATTCTCCACTCCACATTGTGGTAAAAATAAACTAGATCAAGGTCCTGTGTCATGATTCTATTACATTCCAACATGTGACTTCTTGCTGTGCTGAATGCCATTACAAGTGACTTTCAATTCTGTGGTATCACTAGTTTGAAATCATGTATTTTTCCTTGAAACCCACTTAAGACTTCTTTAGTATTTTATTTTTTTTAAGCTCATCTGCAATTGTTTGCACACTCACACGAATGAGCCTGGATTGTCAAAGTATTTTTAGCTGGTTAACATTATAGTCTGTGCAGCTATCCCATCCAGACATCCCAATCATGAAAAAGAGTACAAGGATTCTGTTTAAATCAAATCCCACTCTCAGTAAAGGGGATTTTTAACTTAATATAAAAGATGTGTAGGTTTTTTTTCATAGACATTGCAATCATTAAACAAAGAGTTAAAAAAATAAAATAAAATCTATGCACATATTTTTTCATCTTTAGCACCTGCCAATATTAGCATAAGCTTATACAGGTTCTATCCTGGGGTCATTAGGTAACACAGCTACCAGTTACCACACATTCTGCCTCCCTAATACCTTGTCATCATTCAAAGAAATCCACTGTTCTGACAATGTAAGTAGCATTTAGATGACACAGTATTTATCTTGTTTGGATCGTGGCTTCAGTTGGTTTCCTAATTTGTCATCCAATATGTGGTAATGAAATGGAAAAAAATCAAAATATCTTGATAATCCAAAGAACTAGAGTTTTCCTTCTATGTAAAGAATGGCTATTGCCCTAGATCACATGAGGGCTACCATGTGTTCTGAAGGCTAGGTTGAGATTCAGGCATCTGCCCTGCACACAGAGCTCACGTGTTTGGGGGATCTTACTTTTTATTACAATGTAGTTCTGTTATCTACTGATGCCTTTCTCCCCCTTCTACATTGGACTGCTGAAAACAGTTCTTAGGTATATAAAAAAAAATGACAGAAAAAGAGGGAGCCAATTTGAGTATGTACATTTTTTTTTTCTCAAAAGATTTTATGGAATGGCACTATAGAAACGGCCCAAGCAAACATAAAACACATGGGAACATATAAAATGACAGAATGATTTCCTTTGGCCTGACATGGTTTGAAAGAAAAGAGATTACAAACATTTCAGATTTGGAAGAAATGATTCAGAACGAATACGTAAGACGGTTTTGAGCATGAAGTTACCTAGGCACCTTCAACAGCCACATGGTAGCTACCTTGCAGCCTCATTGTTGGTTATGCAAATGAGACTCTCTTTGTAACACATGAACACATGTATTTGGTACTTTTACAGAAAGGACAAGAAAGTACGTTGGTTTCATATTCAAACGAATGATGCCCAGGATAATCCTTACTTATACAAAGAATTGAGAGAGAATGAAGGAGAAAGAGAAACTGTAGTCTCCTGTGAGTGTTCCAAAAGCCCCTGGAACTTGAGGGTTTTTCTTTCCAAAGACAAAATCCAACTTCGCCCTTCCAACACCCAGGAAGCTGACAGGTGTAACTGAAGGATGTGGACAGCTCAGGTTCCCTCCGAAGCACAGAAAAAGATTAGGCTGAAGGCGAAGTGTAGAATTTCTCTGTAGTGTAGAAGTGTAGAATTTCTCTGCCGTCTCCTTGGATACAGTTCTGTAATTAGTTTGATGGCCAACAAACAAAGTCACTCTCTAGGCTTGAGCTCTCAATTCACAGGGTTGCAAAGAAGAGAACCGAGGTCTGGTGAGACAGGAATATGGACCTTTGAGCTGGGTAAGATTCCTTAGGTGTGGCGATGTAACAGGACTACAATTTGAAAGCCTACTCTCTTTTCCTCTCTAATGCTGGGTTTGTGTCTTCCCTATCCTCTCAGATAGACTAACCCTGCAAAAACAGCTTTGCCTACTCGATTCAAAAGCAATTCTTGGGAATGGTCCCAGGAACAGAGTTCCATGCCCCTGCCGCTAACTTCAAGCAACACTAGGTACGTTGATCCCAGACATGATGAGTCAGAGCCTTTAGGACTTGCTCACTAAGTCAATTTAGATAAATGTAAGCCAAGTTTTGCCTCATTCTAAGTGCAAATATCTCCTTTGGTCTCAGTGCTGGATCAACCCTAATTCTTTCAGTTCTTGTTGATAAAAAGCAAATAATGTATTGATTGTCAACTAGCATGTGAAGAGCTTGCCTCTACTGTACTAAAAGATCTTAATGGCCCCACTTATCTCAGAGAATTATATTGAAATTTAGAAAGGGCTGTGTTGTCTCTCCTGTCAATATCAAGGTATGAGAACACTGTGGGAAGAGGTAAAGGAAAACATTCCCTTCCCAAGTACCAAGTCAAGGTGTCTGTTCAAATGGGCCAATAACAAAACAAAAGTGAGAAGACAAAATCTGTTTATGTTGGTGTTTGAAAGGAAGACTATTGTTACCAATTCATGAGAACTTCTCTGGAGACCACGCCCCACTGCACAGGACATCACTGAGCCTTTCTGACGGGTGGCCCTTCAGACATCTTTCAGAGCGGGTTCACCAAGCATACTTAGCCTGCAGTTCATATGAAGACATTGCATCCTCTTGAACAAAGGACCCAGTGTGCCAGTGGCCACCTATGCATTGCTGAGACAGCTTCACAGGAGTTAAAGCCGCCTGCTTCCACCAATCCATTGGTTCTCGGACTCTTCATGCTTGAACTGCTGAGCACGGTAGGTACAAACTTCAACTATCAACAAATATACATTTTTAGAAAAACAATTCCTTTTTGCAGGATGTGAAACACTAGTGAAAGGTGGTTGAAATGAAGTTAGAATTGGTCTGGCCATGTCGGTCAAACAAAACTTCAGGGAAAGAAAAGCAGTGTCTACCATCGCGACGGTAACAGGGTCTCACTTCATCTTTGGTATAAAATAGGCCATCCATAGGCTGCAAGTGACCACAACTAAGAAAGACTACAGAAATTGTCAACAATTTCTCTATCTATTGCTTTTTTTGTTTTTTGTTTTTTTTTTTGTGTGTGTGTGTTTGTGTGTTTTTGTTTTTTATTTTTTATTTTTTTTTGCACTTTTTGACCATAAGCTTCTATCTACTTAAGTTTTGTTTTTAGTGCTCTTACACTAGGTTTTGCAATGTGACAAGCAAAGCTGACTAAAACCTGACAAAGCTCATAGAAAAACTGCAGATAAAAAGCACTAACGCTTTCGCTAGCAACCACGCTCTGGAAATTAAAAAAAAAAAAAAATTGCATTCTGCCCCCCAAACACGCATTATTTCTAATGCAGTTGTTTTTAAACCAATGTGAATAACTTTACCATAAAATGTCTTTTAGCCTTTTAGAATGATTGTGTCAAAGTTCATAAGAAGTCCCAGCATTTCCCAATTCTTGCAGTTGCTGTGGTTTCTTTTATCAACAATTTTTCTTCAAATGAAGAAAAAACACTTTCTTTTAAACTGTACAGACTTTTCCTTTTTCTTTTCAACTCTAAAAACTCAGTCTCCATCTTCTATGCCAGTGAAAGCTGGCACAATATTTCAATACTTTAGTGATTTTTTTTTTTTTAAAAACAGACGTTGACAGCATGCCTCTCGAGCCTTTGACGTCCTTAAAATTAAGGCAATTAAGATTCAAGATAAACCTTACCTAAATATTTCTAAAAAAACATAAAATATAAAAAAAAACAACAACCCAGGGAATTCAAACAAGAAAGGAAAAGGAGAGAAAAAATAGCTTAATTACTGAGGAAAATACTTTTCTTATACATCTGGTTCTGACTTCTTGACATTGGGTTTTCTACCAAAAAAAAAAAAAATCTACTCACACGTTCAGGTAAATTCTGAATTAAAATGTTCTTCCACAGAAAACACCAACTTTTGATGTTTATCACCCTACCCCCTTTCTGGGATTTTTTTTCTCCTTTAATTAAAAAAAGAAATGACAAAATAACTGTGAGACCACACGAAGGAAAAATTCGCACAGCACATAAAAATGTTGTTTTCTTTGAGTAGAGTATAAAATTAAAAATAATAAAATAAAAGAAGAAGAAAGCTTTCCCTTGGTGCCTGTGCAAGCTGGAGGCCAACTAACTTCTTGCTTAGTGAAGTTTCTTCATTGAAGGAAAAGGTTCAGGTGGACATCCTCATTTCTGTCTATGGTCTGCAAAGACAAACGGATAAGAGTGGTCATTACAGCCAAGCTTTCCTTCTGTCGCTTCTTTAGAAGAGCCAAGCCTTTCATCATACTCAAAGAAGCAATGGAACAGGCATATGAGCACATGAGGCCGTCAAGTTCTGCTAACTTCATATAAATTACACCCAAGCAAGAGTTTGCTCATGTCAAAATCAAGGTAGATAGACTTAGATACTTCTAAAAATTTGCTGATTTTGTTTCTGTGTGTATAACTCCTTGTTTGTATGTAAGAAAATACATCACATGAATTCGGCAGCAGCAGAGGCCAGACTGAGAGCACATCATGTCACCATGCAGTGGGGTTAGACGATGGTAGTGAGCAGCCATGTAGGGGCTGGGAACTTCAGCAAAAGCGCAAGGGTCCTTAAAAATATCTAAGTTGGAACTCAGAATGCCATGACGCCTGTATCAATGCCTTCCACACATAGGAGCATGGTGATCTGCCATGGGCCTTCCGGGTCCTGTCCCCGCCCCCCCATCCCCGCCCACAGAAACGAAGTCTCAGCAGACACACCCAAAGCAAGCCATAGCAGAGGGCACGACTCACTGGGGACACCAGAGGTACATTTTGTATCATTTATTACAGGACAGTCAGAAGACTCTTAGTCCATCAAGCTTGTGTGGAGGAGGGCAGACAGACAGACTGCACAGATTCCTCTCAGTGAAAAGCACCGATCCCGGTGTGATTTCAGTGGGACCTATGAGGGGCTTTCTAATCCTAGTTCTAGGGGCAAATCTCTTTCATTTGTGACCTAAGTTTTACTCTTTGGAGAATGGTGGTCACATGACAACCTGAAATGGGCAAGCCAGGATCCTGAAGTCTTGCACTGTGACTGGGAGGTCATAAAAGTGGAATCTGAGGCAAAGACTTCCAGCATCGGAGATTTTAACTTGATGTGCACATATACTTTATGAGATCTGGTTAATTTCAAATTTTTAAATTTCATTATTATTTTCCATACACACGCATGGGTAAATAGAAACACAGCATGCTGAGTCCATGTTTGTGTGCATGGTTCCAGGGCTGACCACTTCGTGCTGGGTAACCAATAGTAACTAAAGAATAGGCTTATCAATTTGAGATGGAGGAGTGTGCGAGGGGACGGGGAGGAAAGGAAAAGGGGAAGTGATGTGCTTATATTTTAAATAGCATGTTTAGAAAAGACCTAACTTTTAATGTGTGTGCATCTTGTGTGTGTACGTATGTGGTGCACATACAGCTGTGCGCATGTCGGAGTCTTCCTCTGTGGGTCCCTGCTTTCCTGCCTTAACCCCGAGGCTCACCGTCTGCTAAGCGTGCTGGCTACTGAAGTGTTGAGATCTCTGCCTCTGCCCACTCAGTGCTCGGTTCAGGCACAGGTATCTACACTCAGCTTCTTATGTGGGTTCTGGGGATTCCATCGCAGGGACTCTCTCTTTGAGAGCAAGTGCCCTTCCCAACTGAGCCACCTCTCAATCCCTCGGATTGTAACTATTTTTAAGGTTTTATATACAGCAATAAGGAATAAGTGATAACTCAGTGGGGATCAGAATTCTCATAGACTTTCCAGAATAAGCCACAGGTGTCATCTCCTTCTGTGATAAGAGCTTAAAGTCCTTCTGCATCAATAATGGGGGAAACATCCCTCATAGGTCACGGGAGGTCCTTTGTGTATATGTGTGTGTCTCAGTGTGTGCATGCTTATATCTGCGTGGGTGCCCTTGGATCCCTGGAGCTGGAGTTAGAGGCAGGTGTGAGCCACCATGTGGGCTCTTGGAAATGAACACTGATCTGTAGAAGAACAGCAAGTTCTCTGTTTTAGCCTGAAAAGCAAAATGTGAACAATGAAAATAACCTCTGGCTGACGTTTTATTCATAAGCCCATCATCATGTTTCTCAGATCTTTCTCTGTGACTCCTGCCTGTAATGGCTGTGGTTTGCAATGTCTTGAGTGTGGACACTTTGATGTTAAATGCATGTAAGGTATCAAGCCTCTTCTCAGGGGCACTGGGGGGCTAGTCTGAATCTCACATCCCACTGGCAGTCTGCTAGTATCTGATGAGAAGTGCCAGCCATTAGCAAGTACCTAAAGACCTCTGTATCTCATTTAGCATAATGACCCCAGCAAAGGGCTTCCAGGGAAAGTAGTGGCTTGTTAATTAGCACAAGGATGCTGGAAAAAAAAAGAGCCTTCCAGTCTGTGAAATGTAAGGCATTGAAGAGAGCCACCATAATGAGGACTGGCTAAATTATTTTACAGATATTTTTGCATTACGCTGGAAGAGAAATAACATAAATTCTATATTTTTAATCTCGCAAACGTAGATGCATGTATCCATATGTGTGTATAGACGAATATATTTAAATTCAGACTCTGCAGGTGAGAGTAAAAATGTAGCAACCGTCTGCTTTAATATGGTTTATCTTACTTAATATGATGTCCAGTCCAATCATTTCTTTCTCTGGAAATGACATCCTTTCATTCTTTATGGCTGAAAACAGTTCTACTGTGTGACTGTGGACCACAGTTCTTTATCCATCCATCTGTCCACTACAGGCGTGGGTGATACGTGTAGCTTCTTCACAATGTTATGAGTGACAGAACGATTTCTTTAACAAGCAAAAGGATGGTGGAGAGCAAGCCTCTGCAAACAGGTTCATCTGAGAATTCTCCATTCATCAGAGGGTTGGTCACAATCCACAGAGCTGGACAGTTTGCACATGAAGCCTTCTCCATATATACTTTCCCAGTGTTAATTCCTCTAGCTTCAGAGCAGAGCTTTCAAAATTTAATCTACATATTTGCTCCACACAAAGCTAAATGTAATTTTCTTTATGGGTGTTTAAAATTTTTCATGAGTAATTCTGAACATTTAATTGTTTTTCTCTGCTATTTAATTCCTGGGCAGGGCCTAATCTCTGTGTCATGTATTTAACAGTATTCTCCTTCTCCATGACCATTTACCCTGGTGTTCAAAGTCAACCTGCAATGAGAATGTCACTGTAATTGTTTAAGAGTTTTAGAACAGAATGTCTGGTCGCTATCTAGATTCAGATGGGCAGACTAAAATTTCCCCAAAAATGTATAACAGATTTTTGATTGACTACAATGCATCTCTCTTGAAGTGAGAGCCTTCATTAACTCTTTCGGGTCATGTGACTTGCATTGACTGAGTATAACAGCCAATGCATAGAAGCTAAACTGAGTGCCTCCTTTTGTTGAATTTTGTTTTTTGCTGTTCTTAGAATTCTGACATGTCTGGAAATAAGTTTGTTAGAAAATTAAAGGCATATGATCAGCCCTTCTACCATCCAAAGCAGAGGGCCATGGATGACCAGGAGCTCACACACAGGGCCAAGTACAGGCAGGACTGGAAATGCACTCACCTGAAGCCAGCCAGAATGGCTCATGTGATCATGAGCTTGATAAATGCCTACCCCTAAGCTTGGGGTGGTTTCTGTGAAACCAAAACAAATGGAGACATCCTGAGAAAGAGGCTCCCAGACCTCAGCTTCCAGAGGAAGGCCTTGGCACAGCACAGACTTACTTGGACTGCTGGAAGGAGTACGCGGGGGCATGTTCGCTGGCTGTGTCCACTGCTAACTGTTGCTGCTGACCACTGCTGTCCTGGGGTGAGGGGGCCACCGTCTGGGGAGAGGTATCAGCGACAACACCCTGAAGAGGCAGATCAGTACACACAGCCCTTACTTGTTTTAGCGAAGGGCCCTTTCTAGGTGCAGCGCAAACACCCTTCCCCTGCTGGGTTTGAAAAGAGATAGCGTCCAACCGCAGGAAACCACAGGATGGGAGCAAAGAAAAACTTGATCTTGTCATCTTGACCGTGCAGCACCAACGGCTCTGCCAGCAGAAGTCCTCAGAAAGGTCAAATGGTCAGAAAACCATTTCAACTTTTGCAGAGAGGATACCGGCCTCAAGTAAAGTAGTCTCAGTCACAGTCGGTGGTCTCTAAAATACTCTGAGCATATTTTGAAGATTTATTATACACTTCTCTGTGTATTCTATATGTGTAGATGTGCATATGTCTATGTACATATACACATATATCTATGTACGTGTGTGTGTGTGTGTGTGTGTGTGTGTGTGTGTGTGTGTGACCATGGCAGCTGGAAGTTCCAACTCCATTGGAACAGGAGTTGCTGATATTTGTGAACTTCCTGATTTGGTGCCTGGGAACCAACTTCCTATACTGTCTCCCTGTGTAGCTCTGGTTGGCCTTGAACTTGCTACCTAAATCAGGCTGGCTTGAAACTCAGAGATCCATCTGCCTCTTCCTCTGGAGTGCTGGGATCAAAGGCATGGGCCACCTCCTCACCCATCTGCTTGTACAGTCTTTCTTTCTTCCTTCCTTCCTTCCTTCCTTCCTTCCTTCCTTCCTTCCTTCCTTCCTTCCTTCCTTTCTTCCTTTTCTTCCTCTCTGTTTGTCTCTCTCTTTTTTAAATTATTTTATTTTCCTTTGTTTTCTAAGACATGAACAGGCATTCAGTCAGAGCATTCAGGAAAATAAAAGAAGAGGAAAAGGAGAAGGGCAGGGAGGTGGGGGAGGAGGAGAAGGAGGAGGAAAAGGAGAAGGAAAAAAACAGCTGCCACAGCAGCCTCAAGCAGATACCTGCTGTGGGTTGTGTGTCAAACACTTCGTTCTGTTGTTGTCTCATCACTTATTTGCTGTTTTTGTTTGTTTTGAGGCAGAATTTCTCTTTTTAGAACCTCTGAACATGATTGATTTGTGACTGGTCAATTGACTAATTGATGGATACCAGCAGGTGTCCACCTGGTGTTTCTGTATAGCTCTGACTATTCTTTTCTTCACAAGGCAGATTCAAGGCAGAAGAGTAGAAAATAGTTATGTCTCTTTCTTCCTCTCCAGCTTCAGCTCTAACTATGAGTAGAGCTTCTTTCCCATACACTACTTTGTTAAATGTGACTGTTATTCAATTAAAGGCTCTTTCAACAGCATAAACCTTTGGTGTAGACATACAGAGATGGAACTGTGTGGTAGAGGCTGATCCTCATGGTGCTTGTGATATGTTGACTATTAATTTTTTTCAAGGCATAGCTGCTCTTTAGTCACTAAACATAGCAAAGGCCATGTAATCTAATCACATGTTCCTGAACTCCAATTAAAACCTTTAACATGCCACTATTTTGGACCCATACACCTAGAAAATTAAAAATAAGGATTTGATGCTCTTAGTTTCCTAAACATTACAGCAGTGCCTTGTTATCTTTGGGGCTTTCTTTACTCAAGTATATGTTTCTTTCCAGTATATGTTTGTTACACACCAGAAATAAATCTGTTAGCATTTTCAGAGATTCAATTTAGTTGGCCAAAACCTCCACTGACCTTCCCAGTGCTGGACTTTTTCATGGAGAGGTACAAGCGCTCTAGCTACTGGTGGTGTTATAGTGCAAGAAAGATGAACTCAAGGAAGCATATTGATTAGTTTTCCAGTTTCTAGGTGATGAGAAGCAATGCCTGCAAATGACCGCAAAACCCTTGGGTGTTAGAAGAGGGACTATGGCTGACAGTAGAGCTGGACACAGCCTAAGCACTGCTGCTGTCTATATGGCTCTGTGCTCTTCTCTGTAGCTTTAGAGCTCCATCCGGTAAAATGAGAGCTGCTGAGGATGGATTTGTGCCAATGAAGAGAGAGAAGGAGCTTTACTTCCACTAAGAACAAAATGACAGCATCATTTATGATACCTGCAGAGATTCAGTTATATCTTTCCTGTCTGTAGGAATCAAGAGTATATTGAATTCATTCATTAGAAGAGGAGGCTTTTTGTTAATATGCTTTCTAGGGTTCTAGGGATGAAGACCATAGTCCCATACGTACTGGGTACACTCCCAAGTGGAGCAGTGATTCTTAATTGTTAATACCTACTGGCATTATTTGGGATTGTTTAAAAATCCCTACACCTGGTACTTATTCTAGACAAGTCAGTAAGAACATCTTCTGATGAAATCCAAGAATCCATATTCTTAAAGCATGCCTCCCCTAACAATTTTAATGAGCAGAAATGTTTGAGAATCAAGATGCTGTCTCATTTTCATGAGCATCTGAACTCTCAAGGGATCATCTTAAAAGAAACACACAGATTCGGGAAACAGATGGTGATGTCTGATACTTTCCTTCTCTAACGAACTCGTAAGTGATGCAGGGATGGCTAATCTTGGTTCTCAGCTTGATGGAAGACTTGGGAGATCAGCCTGGGACACACCTGCCCATGGGTTCTTGACTGCATTAATAAGGTCGGAAGAGCAACTGCAGGTGGCGCCACTGTGGGTAGTGTCATTCCCTGGCTGGGACCCACTGCACACATGGAGAAAGGGAAGCTTTGCATCAGCCTGTGTTCACTGCTCTATGCTTACTGACTGTGGGTGTGATGCGAGCAGCTGCTTCCCCTGACTCTGTGATGTCCCCACTGTATGATGGACTGTACTCTTGAACTGTGAGTCAGAATGAACCCATTCTCTCTTAAGTTGCTTTTTTTTTCAGTTTTTGTTCTGTTTTGTTTTGTCACAGAAATAGGAAAAAGAACTAAAGCATATCCCATGGTGCTGGTTCAGGGACCACTCTCAAACCCAAGTTATATACTGTTCTTCCTCTCTGTTCATGAGTGTTTGTGGTCTGCATTTGATGGAGGAAAGATACGTTCTTTGAATTGTTGTCTAGGTGTGCAAATCACTCTTCCTTTATACCTCTCTATAAGATTTGTTAATTGCATGTGTAAAGCGAAATGTAGGTTTGATTGAGCTGACATATGACTTCTGCATACTCAGCTTGCAGGAACAACGTGTAGAACAGCATAAAGATTTATCAAGGATTCCTTGGGTTATGGGGACCTGCACAACTGAGATTTCTCTCTCTTTGCCTCTTTGTGTTTACAGGATAGACTTACTTCAATAGAAACAGCTGTCGGAGGCACAGGCGTGTACTGGGGAATGTAGGTCCCTTGCATAGGAGCAGCAGTCATATACTAGAGAAAAATCAAAGAAAAATGCACATGAACTTGGGGGTTGCAACCTGAGAAAGAGTCAGACACTACATGAGATGATAGAGGGACAGCACATGACTGGTTAAACGCAATTTTCACCATCCATGACAGGTCTTATTGACAGTGACTCCTGCATACTGATTCTACGTCAGTAACAGTTTCATCTTCTCCACATCAGCACAGGCTATTTCAGCCCACCCCCTTAAGCCGTCAATCTCGGCTCTCTATGTAAGAGCTGGAATATTTCCTGTTTCCACAAGTGTGAGGACGATGTCTGTGCTTTTCTCCGTTTTGTTGGTAAAACCTCTCACACAGTAGGCTCCTGACAAGGCATTTGTTGAATGAATGAATCATCGTAGTAATTCGTAAGCAATGATTCCTATCTTAAAAATGTCGAGGAACATTGTAAGAAATGCTTACAAAGCAATACTGCAATGGACAAATGTTTTTTGATCATCTTTTTTAATATAAAATAGACTGGGGATATCTCGCAGTAGAACAGCGATTGTCTGTCCAAGGCTGTGAGTTCTATCTCAAGCACAGCAAAGGCAAGAGGGATTGTCACAGGTAATACTGAAGTCTCTTGTGTCCTTTCACCTTCCATCCTCAAGGCAGCATTAATATTTTCTTTCTAATACCTTAGAAGATAACAGTCCAGAGGGGCTGGAGGGATAATTCAGCTTTTAAGATTATATTCTGCTCTTGCAGAAGACCCAAGTTCAATTTCCAGCCCCTAAGTCACACTGCTGACAAGTAGCTGTAACTCCAGCTCCAGGAGATCTGACTCCCTCTCTGGCCTCCACAGACACCCACACACATGTGCGTGCTCTCATCCCACACACATATACACATCACTAAAATGATTAAAAAATTACATCTTAAAAAGAAAATAGCCCAATTCTCTTTGGGTAAATTATGATGTTTGCTAACATATGTATTGTGGATAGCAGACATGTATGTTTTTGCAGTGAAAAGGGAACATTCTGGAAATATTATGTAGGGATCTACACACACATGAATGAAGTGTGACATGCATGTATGTACTACATGAATTAAATATGACCTGTGTTCCCATTTGTATTGTATATTCTTCCTGTGAATTTGCAGCCCCCCTGTATGTAAACTAAAATTTGAAATCATCTGTTTTCTGACTTCTCAAACCTGAGCCAGATCCCCACACTGCAGAACTAGAGTCCATGCCATGAAGCAAGCTTTTTTTGTTTCCCAAAGTTTCAGATGTTTTCATGGAACATCCAAAGTCCTGGTTCTGCATGCTTTTCAGATGGCTGAGATCAAATACATAAAAAGTAAAACCCAAACTGCTTGTTCTGTGTCTGTTGGTGCAAGAGGTTCCCTCTGAATAAAGGAAGTCCAGCCCATCGGCCATGGCTGTTCAAGCTTCACACAGGAGACTGGAGCAATAAAGTGACTTTGAAAGAAATTCATCCTGGTTCTAAACAGTTGTATGTGTTTGTTAAAAATAGAACGGTCTTAATAAAACGACCCCTAAACCAACCAACCAACCAACCAACCAAACAAACAAACAAACAAACTACCATCTTTGGTGGATACACATAAACAGATAACTGGGTTCAACTATCCATAAACACACACACACAAACACACACACACACACACACACACACACACACATTTTGTAATTGGACAAAGCAAGTGCTTGAAAGGCTTATGGCTTCCTTCTCATGAACTCTGTGTCATCATATTATCTTTGGGCTCTTAAGGCATCCATCACTTCTCTCAAAAACACTCAGAATGACATCTCTTTGAAGGCATGAGCCAAACTTTATTTGTTTCTGGATCTTCTGATATTTGAGGTAATGGCTAGGACCCGTAAGGGATGGCTCAGTGGCTGAGTGAAAGCATCTAGGTTGAGGCACTGGGGAGTCCGCTTGGCCAGTAGAGTGGTTTCTGATGATGTTTAAAAACCTGAATTCAGGTCCCCAGCTCCCACATAAAAACACAGGACAGCGGTACACATCTGGAGAGTGCTGGCGAGAGGGAAACGTAAGGAACCAGGGAGTTTGTACACCAGCAAGTCTAGCCAAGCAGTGAGTTCCAGGTTCAGTGAGAGACCCTATTTTGATAAGCAGGGTGGCCAGAGCTGGAGAGATGGTTCAGAAGTTAAGAGCCCCTGTTGCTCTTGCAGAGGTCCCAGATTCAGTTCCCCAATGCCAGGACATATGCCATCTTCCGACCTCCACATGTACCAGACACACACACACACACACACACACACACACACACACACTGCACATACACATGCAGGCAGAACACCTGGACATAAAACAAAGTAATCTTAAGAGATGAAAACAAAATGAAGGACTGGAAACAAAGTGGAGGACTAGCCAAATGTCTCCTGAGGAAGGCAAAAGCACCCGCTGGCTGACAGCTTGAGGTGGATCCCCAGGACAATGGTGGGCAAGGAGAATGGAGGTCTGCAAATAGCAGGTTGAACTCTAATTTTCACACTCCATGCCCTGGCATGTGCGTGCACGCGCGCACGCGCACACACACACAGTATCCATGTCAAACCCCTTACACTTCATTACAAATCCACAGGCTTCATTGTTCTCAGTGATTCTGATCTCATTCAAATAATAATCCCACCCTACCCTGATGCTGTGCCTATCCAATCTTTAACGAAATTCCCCAGCCAGTTTTTCTCATTAGTCTGTACCCCAGAGCAGATGGTAAATATCCAGATATTAAACTTCTTTCAGTTTTTCAAAGAAGTGTAGATCACTAGACTGACATTTTGACAATCTCACAATTTCACATTCGGCGCCCTTTGACCAGGTATGTGCTTTGTCAACAGAACTCCCCCAGATGGTACTGGATAGATGGTTCAGTGGTTAAAGCACGTGCTGCTCTTGCAGGAGATGTGGAGTTTGTTTCATTCCCTGCACACACACACATTGGGTGGCTCATGACAGCCACCTGTAACCCCAAATTCAGGAGATCCAAATCCCTTTCTGGTCTTGGCAGCCACTCTGTTTGTGTACACACACACACACACACACACACACACACACACACACACACACACACGAATCTTTGAAAAAAAAAAACCCACAAACACCCACCCTACTTGTTTGGAAGGGAAGAACAACATTCTGGATTCCGATACATTTGAGCAACACTACTACTCATTCAATATAATGAACTATACAGTTTATATTAAGAAGCTAGAGATTCATGTCTTCTGAAAGCTTCGTTAAAGCTGATTAAAGAGGCATTTGCGACATGTTTATTCCTGTAGGACCTTTGCTTAGACCCAATATTCCAAGGCATATACTTGTTACAGTTGAATCACGAACATTGTAGCAGGTTAGAATCCTGTGTATCTGGACTTGCTTCCAGGCAGAAGGGTGTTCTTGGTCTTCACATTCCTAGACTTTGGTGGTTCCTTACAAAACCTCACATCTACTAGTGAGATAATCAACCCTTGCAGGGGAAGCGGTGATGTTATACTCTAGAGTTACTTTTTACGAACTTTGCACCTGGGTCTAATAACTTAGCATGCATCACATTTGCATAGGATGATGTCACAGTCCCCAGGGGCAGGGCACTCCCATTCTGCTGTTTGTGTATATAAGGAAGTGTGCCCAAGACTCTGATATGAGAATCCAATGAATTATTTAGACCTCCTTGCCAAGCTAAAGCATTCCCAGGCAGTCTGGTTAATGAGAACATTTTATGTGATTCCTAGCTAAGCTTCTTCAAATGACTGCATTGTTCAAGGCCCCATCTGTGTTTTGCCTCTGTAAAACTGAATCAATAAGTCTTCATTCCTTTGCTAACATTCAGTGGGGTTGAGAATATGGAAAAAAAGTGATCTGCACTTGCAGGGGTTCACACTCAAATTCTCCTCAGAAGTCTGAGTTTGGAGGGTGGTTCGCTCATTTCACAGTGGCAAAGAGCACTGGTGCCCTTCCAGGGGCCGGGGGTTTGGTTCCCAGCACCCTCATGGTGGCTCAGAACCCTGTATAATTCCACTTTCAGGGGAAGTATTGCCCTCTGCTGGCCTCTCTGGGCACTGTACCCATGCATAAACCCACATATTTCTCCCTCTCTCCTCTGTCTCTCTTTCTCTATCTCTCTGTCTCTGTATATCTCTGTCTCCCTCTCTATCACACACACCACAGTAAACGCTTCTTTAAACTTTAAAAGATGACAACATGTCACCAAATGGCTTTTATATGATTATTTCTTTTCACAAACATTGTGTGTGCAAGTGCACATATCATATCTGCATACGTGTAGATACCAAAAGACGGCCTCGGGGACACTCCTAAGGCACTGCCTGCCATTCTGAGAGACAGTGTCTTTCACTGGTCTGGAAATTGCCAAGTAAGATAGGCCGCCTGGCCCAGGGAGCCAGCGGAGTGCCCCAGTCCCCTCTGCCAGAATTAAAAGAATGCACTGCCATTCCTGGCTCTTGTTATGTGAGTTCTGAGATTTGAACTTGGGCCCTTATTCCTGTATCACAGCACCTTACCAGCTGAGCCTCCTCCTCAGCTTCTCTTGTGCCTTTCTAATTCGCAGCCTTTCTACCCACAAGCTCTAATTTTATTTTAAGAAAGTCTACCCTATACGCTTGCTAATCCAGTTATGTCACTATACTGAACAGAACAGTAAAGATTTTTATAGGCAGAGATCAGCTCTTCTCAGTATGTTGTGGCAGTCAGTGTTCAATAGGACTGTCTTTGTGGTTACTTTTGTCACAAAAAATGTAATAGGCTGATCTGAAAATTAAGGGCAAATTATGGTAAGCAAGTCAGTGCTGTGTGGATTCAAGACTCAGAGTACTTTCATCTGTGGACAATACTTTTTAATGGTGTCTTCCAAAGGCTACAAAGTGTCTGCCGTAATTTTTATGAATACAAATTATTTATTTGGGACATTTTAACTGCATTGTGGAAAGAAAGCACATCAAAATTAAATGGCAGGTAACAGGGATG